TAAGCAAAAATAGAGAATAAAAGAGTAGTTTCTCACCCTTGAAGAACACTTCAAGAACACCAACTCCAGCACCTCCTTTTGATCAAAACCAACTCAAAAACTCTGAAATCAACTCTTTAGCACCTCAGTAACTAAGGGATAGCGTACCACTAGGTGCTTGAGTGCAAAAATATGAACAAAAACACCTTTTAGAACACTATTACACACACAACTATAGAGAGAGTGTGATATATATCTTCTATATCAGTTGGCTGAAGCCCTAGAAAGGGAGGGGAGGCTCTCCTCTTATAGGAAGTCCAATTCAAAGCTTCAAAGAGAAGTTAAGTGTTGGTGCAGATCCCTCCATACACGTGTGTGGAGTGTAGAGTTTGTGCTCACCAGCTGGCATAGCTGGCATACACAATGCCTGAAAAAGGAAAAGAAAAGGCCTCGGCCAGAAAAAGTGGGCGATTGACCAAAACAATGGCCAGCCGACCAACTAAAGTGCCAATCGGCTAACACTCTTAGCCGATAGCAAGAAAACAAGGCCGGTGGCCTCAGGCCATGGCCGGTGGGTTAAGGGGATGGCTAACAAGCCACTTCCTACCCTCAGGTGCAAAAATCACAAGTCCTTGGTCCACAACCAAGCACAAAACAGTCAAGTTGAGAGATCCTAAGGCAAGGCGTGCAGTCGAGACCTTTGGGAACTCAAAACAAACACGAGCATGGATGATCATCGAGTGTTCAAACGATGACGTCCAAGTCTTAAAGACGGTCAAAAATGGAGTGTCTATAGATATGCGAAAGAAATACTCATGAAATTCAAGATGATTGATTGCAAGCCTGTTAACACCCCCGTGGAATGTGGAGTCAACCTAACAAAGCATGAAGATGAAGAAAAGATTGTTGCAACTTTTTTCAAGAGTCTAGTTGGAAGTTTACTGTACTTGACTTGCACAAGACCGAATATTCTTTTTGGAGTTGAGCTGGTAAGTTGCTTTATGGAAGCACCCACAATGAATCACTTTAAGGCTACAAAAAGAATTCTTCGTTATGTTAAAGAAACAATTGATTTTGGCTTATCTTATTCATCCTCAAATGAATACAAGCTTGTTGGCTATTGTGATAGTGATTGGACTGGAAACTTGGATGATAGGAAAAGCACTAATGGCTTTGTGTTTTTCTTGGAAAACACAGCTTTTACTTGGAGTTCAAAGAAACAACCGATAGTAAGACTTTCTACTTGTGAAGCTGAGTATGTTGCTGCTACATCATGCACTTGTTATGCAATTTGGTTGAGGAATTTGATGAAGGATTTGCAATTTGCACAAGAGGAAGCGATAGAGGTCTTGGTTGATAACCAGTCAACAATTGCCTTGGCCAAGAACCTAGTGTTTCGTGATCGAAGTAAACACATTGATATGGGGTATCATTTTCTTAGAGAATGCATTGCGAAGAAAGAGGTACAACTCAAGTTTGTGAAATGTCATGATCAATTTGCTGACATATTCACAAAGCCACTCAAGTATGAAGACTTCAGTAAGTTTCAGACCTTGCTCGGAGTTACAAAAAGTCAAGTTTAAAGGGGGGTGTTGAAATAATAAACATAATTTTAGTTCAATTAATTTACACATTTTCTAGAAGTATCTATTCATATTTTATTCATGTATTGTCAATATTCTTGTATTCTTGAGATTCATGTATTCTTAGGATGAATAAATCTAGGAAGATTCATATATGGTACATTGGATGTAGAAGTATTGGTCTCTTGGCTTGTTCATTAGAGATTATAAATAACTCATATACCTAAGTGTTTTAAGTAAGTGGAATCAAAATATTTGAGAGTTAAAAATTCATCTTCCCCTTTTTCAATCTCTTTAGCCTTTGTGTGATCCATTTTATTTCCAACAACAACTATCTTTAGAATAAGTAGTCGGATAATTGATCACACAAGATAGAGAATTTTTTTCAAAGATAATATATATTATCCTATCTCATGTTTGGGAAGAAAAGAATTGTATAACATTATTTTTTTTTTGGATAGGTAAAAAAAACTTTATTGATGAAGCACATGCAAGGTATGAAAAATTACATCAATAAAGAGGAGCTTGAAGCTATAGCGAGCACCAACCTCCCAGTTGGTGAGAGATCAACAAACAAAGCAAACAGAGCAAAGGCAAAGAAAAACCAGCACTTGAAACTGCATTGCCTTGAAACTACACAAACCAGAGAAAAACCAGCACAAACCAGCAACCTTGAAATTGCACTGCCTTGAAATTCCCTTCAAATTGACCAAACAATTCAAAACAACCGTGAACCAGCAGCCCAAACAAAACCCAGTCATTCAGCCCTTCAGTCATTCTATGAGTAACTCAAGTGTTATGAAAATTCATATCAGTGCAACATCAGCAAGACAACCAGAAACCAGCAGCCCAAACAAAACCATGTCATTCAGACATTCTACCATGAACTACACTGCAGCCCTTCAGACATTCTACACAACCGTGAACTACACTGCTTTGAACTCCAAACAGATCAAAGCAACAAGCAGCCCTTCAAGCATTCTACAAAATTGAGCAAATATCAGTGAACTGCTGCTTTGAACTCCAGTCAGTAGCCCTGCTTCCAAACACCAAGCATTATTCATTAAAACAAAGGAGCAAATTGATGAGGCCAAAAAACACCAGACTTGAGCCATAACCTTCAACCTCCATTCCTGATACAATATTTCACCTATGGCAGATTAAAGACCAAATCATTTATAGAGAAATCCACCTGAATTTTCGATGCTTTGAACCACAAAGCAACTCTAACCTTCACTAATTCACACAGAGCTTCCAAATTTGGACGAGAACCATTAAAGACACAGTCATTTCTGTGCTTCCATGTGGACCAGAGAGTGGCCAAAGGTATTACCATCCAGATTTTCTTCTCCAACTTCTGCATTCTGCATCCAGACCACCATTCCAACATTATTATATGCTTATTATTTTTTATCATATCCTACTCTATCGCAGTCTCCCACGAAATTGAGTTATCCCACTATTGTTGGATATAGTGTTCACAAAAAAAATAAAAACTAATCCAACCCTCTCTTTTAATCCGACAGCCAAACGTATCATATGCATTGTTATGTATGGATAACATTATTATTATTTGTTGTAGAATAGGCTAATGAATATGTCTGAATTTGTATATAGGTACAGTGGTTAAGATTAGAGTTCGTTTGGGAAATGTCTTAGTAATTTTTTTAAAAAAAATCTTTTTAGTGAAATTTTAAATATTTTGAAAAAAAATTTAGCTTCTAAGTCTTAAGGCCCTGTTTGTTTCACTGGATATAAAATAGAGGATATAATATGATGTGGAATTTAGTCAGGATATATAATGAATAAGATATATGTATTAGATAATATATCTCTCAATTCATGTTTGTTGACTTGATATATAAGACTGGATATATATTATCCATGTTTGTTTTACAAAATATATTGTGGGATTTAAACAAGTAATTCCCAAGATTGCCCTCATAATATAATATAATATTATATTATATTAAATTCAAAATTTATATTAAATTAAATTAAATTAAATAATATTATATTATATTATATTTAAAATTTATATTAAATTATATTATATTAAATTAAATTAAATAATATTATATTATATTATATTCAAAATTTATATTAAATTATATTATATTAAATTAAATTAAATAATATTATATTATATTATATTCAAAATTTATATTAAATTATATTATATTAAATTAAATTAAATAATATTATATTATATTATATTCAAAATTTATATTAAATTATATTATATTAAATTAAATTAAATAATATTATATTATATTATATTCAAAATTTATATTAAATTATATTATATTAAATTAAATTAAATAATATTATATTATATTATATTCAAAATTTATATTAAATTATATTATATTAAATTAAATTAAATAATATTATATTATATTATATTCAAAATTTATATTAAATTATATTATATTAAATTAAATTAAATAATATTATATTATATTATATTCAAAATTTATATTAAATTATATTATATTAAATTAAATTAAATAATATTATATTATATTATATTCAAAATTTATATTAAATTATATTATATTAAATTAAATTAAATAATATTATATTATATTATATTCAAAATTTATATTAAATTATATTATATTAAATTAAATTAAATAATATTATATTATATTATATTCAAAATTTATATTAAATTATATTATATTAAATTAAATTAAATAATATTATATTATATTATATTCAAAATTTATATTAAATTATATTATATTAAATTAAATTAAATAATATTATATTATATTATATTCAAAATTTATATTAAATTATATTATATTAAATTAAATTAAATAATATTATATTATATTATATTCAAAATTTATATTAAATTATATTATATTAAATTAAATTAAATAATATTATATTATATTATATTCAAAATTTATATTAAATTATATTATATTAAATTAAATTAAATAATATTATATTATATTATATTATATTCAATAATATTATATTATATTCAATTCAAAATTTATATTAAATTAAATTCAATAATTATATTATATTAAATTCAAAAATTATATTAAATTATATTATGTTAGATAGACAAGAGGGTAAATTAGACTTTTTAAATCATATCCCAACCAAGAGGATATGATATAATGGGGGGATGGTGGTATTGTATATCCTCCACTTTTGGGGGATATACAGTCCCATAGTATATAATATCCTCTTTGAAAAAAATTTGCAAACATGGGATATGTGGACCTTACAGGATATAATATCCAATCCTCCCCTTTATATCCTGGAATCAAACAGAGTAATAGAGTAGTAAACCCTAAAATTTATTTTAATAATGGAAAAATTTTGAAGAAAAAAATATCCATATAACATAGAAGTGTAGTTGGCAATAACATTTTTCACATTCCTAAAACTACCATTAAAAACCAATTGACAGAAGAGGGGAGGTATTTTTCACTAGGATGAAAGTAGATATATGGAGAGTAAGCTTGAACCAATGCCTTAATTTGGTTTAAATTAGGCATACAAGATAGAAAACAAGACTTGGCATTCTTCAAACAAGCCAGTGATATTGAATCAGCCTCCTCATTACCACTATTTTGGACCATAAACGTACCTGTTGACACCCCTAAAGCCTTGGTCCCTCTATTAACTGGTCTAACACTATAAATTCCAAACCCCCTTGGATTGTTCTTCCTTTTTGGTCCCCAAATCCAGGAATTGTTCTGGCATGTCTCTGTGAAATCGGACCAGACAACCCTAATTTTGTCAAGGGAAGGCTTCACGGGCAAATTCGTTACAATGAGGCCGATGGGTTCATAACCATCAGGTGGCATTGGCAGCCAAAAATGGCCTTTGCCATCTTACTTAATTTTCAAGGACTCACTATTCCAAACAAGGGTATAGTCAATAGGCCTCTTTAGGGCCCCACCAGAGGAGTCATTGGAGACGTCTTTTCCAGCTAGAACCCAACCGCGCAGCGGTTTGTTGTTGGGCTGGGCATAGAAACCAAGCATGAAGAACCCTTGAGGTGTTTCAGATGGTTCAAAGAATGTTGCTCCTGAATTTCCCAGTCCACCGGCTCGAGTAGGCCATACCTCGGTGAAAGATGAAACTTGACAGACTTGTAATCCTCCTAGATCAATGGTTCCACTAGCAAAACCTTCACCTGCAATTGAATTTAAAAGCAAAAAACCAGATATAAGAAGGAGAATAAATGAAAGAAATATAACAAACATGTTGATGCATTGATGCTAAATAATTACCTGGTGGCCAAGTGGGTATTGGAGAAGGAAGCGTGAACACAGTTTCAATAGGCAAAGGCTTCATGTGCATATCTTTTGGAGAAGATAAATTTAGGTTCAACACTGCTGGGTTTTTCAAATGAGTAAGGATCCTCTAGAGTTTTTTTTTTTCTAAAGTTTCCTAGAGTGGTGCATTGTGTGGTTGAGATTTAATGACAAGTCACATCAATTTTTCAGCATTAAATCTCAACCACACAATATGCCACTTTAGGAAACTTTAGGAAAAAAATACTCTAGAGGATCCTTGGTGTTTTCAAATACAGCTCTGGAAACTGGTCTATAGAGCTAGTAGTGCATGGAATAACTAATTTATTTTGAAGCCAATTTATTTTTATCTGTTTTGATTCCTTTCTTTTTTTTTAATTTTGTTTTTCTTTATTTTACTTTTTATTCTGTCTCTTGACTAGATAATTTTAAAAAATAAAAAATAAAATTAAGTTAATTTTGAAAAAAGTTCATTAAAGATGAAAAAAAAAAGGTTAAATTTTATAAAAAAAAAAAACTTACATAAATGACTTATTTTTGTCTTTTATAAACTTTTTTTGAAAAATTCTATTTTTATTTTTTATTTTTGTCTAATTGAGACCAATCTAAAAGTAAAAATTTGACATAATTGTTAAAAATAAGTAGAATTAAAAAAGTCAAAAAAATCAACTCTCAAAAGTAAGTAGTGAAATGCCATAATTCAAATGTGTGCATAAGAGTCACTATACATGTGAATTGCGATCCTTACCACACTATGTTTAATTTCACGTCATAAATTTAAATTCAAAGTATTTCTCTTGATTTTTCTTTTTTTCTAAATATATAACATTTTAAATGGAATATTTTTCCAACAAAGAAGAGTAGAAGCAAAGAACGAATTATGCTTTTGCTAATAAAGGGTAGAAAATTGTAAAGACAATAAGAATAAAACTCATTTCCTGATTCTTTTCTTGCCTCGCCTATTGCTATGCTGGAAGTTGCCCGAATTGCCATAAAATACATTTATTTATTTATTTCATGTGTGCGCGCGCTGAAATTGCCATTTTTGCCAAAAGCATTATTCGACTTTCACAATCGAGAACAATAAAGAATATAACAAATCATACATTTTACTGCGATTTCACAACAAATTCCTAAAGAAATCAAAATCTGACCCAAAAAATGATGAAGCAAAGAATGGTACAAAAAATATAAAAATAAAAATTACACAACAAATTTAAAATAAGAAATTTAACCGCAAAAAAAAAAAACCAAAAATTAACACAAAAATCAATGCAAGAAAATTTTGTTAGGTTTTTGTAATTAGCAATCCCATTTGAGGAAATGCCTCTCAGTTGTAATTTTATTTGCTCTTTTGTTTCAATGAGACTATGAGTATTTAAAGGCGAATCCAACTAGAATTATGCTTGTATAAAGGAGTTCGTGCTGACATTTCATATCTTGAGTATTCCTTATTTACCACTTCGCTGACTATCTACAGAGATCGAGCTGCATTCAGAATTTATGAAAAACAAGTTTTACCACTCGAGCGATAGAAGTTGCGCTCTAGCGATTGGCATATATGTTTTGCATCGCTTTTTCTTACACTGCTCGAGCGATGAATTGTGTTCTCGAGGGGTCTTCGCGGCTTTATTTTTTATAAAGTGCGCCGTTTGCTGTTTTTAAGATTTAACCCCTCCAAATTCTCAGAAATGAGTAAAATACAAAGTGTTCTATATTGGATGATGTTTTTATATGAGTTTCCTTGATCTATAAAAGGTGGTTGATTGATCAACGAACTATAGAGTATAAAAACATCAAGAGTTGATTTTGTTCTTTTATTCACATAAAGAGATAGGTGTTCTTCAATTGATTCTAGGGAATTTGGACTTAAAGCTTTGATGGATTCCAGAATGGCTTATCGTCGTGAATTCGGCGTTATGGATTAAACGTTAGGCAAACAAATTCCGATGTGAAGACAGTGGTGGAAGAGACACATTAGGTTTAGGTCAATTCGAGCGTAGATTCGTTAGGTAATTGAGGATACTCTTGTTTAATTCATTTTTGTCTTCTTAATTGATTGTTTTGTGACTTTGGTCCATGATTTTTTTATTGCAATTGGAGTTGTTCCAATTGTGATTTTTTTCACTTTAAATCATTGTGCTGATTTGCCGTTGATTGTTTGATTGGGATTGACACTAAAAGAAAAGCCCTTATAAAACACAGAACTTTTTGCAATGGCACGCATCCCGTCGCAAAAAATGATCTTTTGTGACGGAATTTTAAACCGTCGTAAATAACGAGCTTTTGCTACGGTAGTTACCCCGTCGCTAATAAACATGCAAGAAAAGGTGTGATAAATATGAAAGTATTCGTGACGCCTTGTGTACCGTCGCAAAAAGAAATTTTTTGAGACGGGGAGAAATTTACTGTCGCAAATAGTGGACAATTTGTGACGGCAATTGTCCATCGCAAAAAAACCCTTATTAAAACGGCGTCGTTTTAACTATTGGATTTATCATTTGTGACGATTTAAATATACTGTCGCAAAAAGTAATGAAAATCTTTTGATATCCCGCTCCTTCCATTGGCGCTCGATCATTTTCCTCCAAAATCCCTAAAACTTTGAAGCAAGATTGTTTTCCCCCAAAATCCCCAAAACCCCTAAAATCGTTTTCCCTCAAAATCCCTAAAACTAGTTTCTTGATGAGTGACGACGGTGAGTGTTCACCGACGATCTCTCTCTCAACGAGCGACGACGGCTAGTAGTCTCAATCGCTCTCGATGATGGCTACTCTCACACGAGCTCAGTCAATCTCAATCGCTCCTCTCTCACACACTCAGCGAGTGACGCCTGTATGCTCTCTATATATATATATATTATATATGTCTCCTTAGAATGTTCCTTAGAATGCTTTTTTTGGGTTTCTGCTTCTGTTGATATTTATGGAAAATAGGCATTGTGCTATGTTTGGTTGAGTTTTCAAAATTTGTTTTTTAAAAAAATTCAAAAATTACAAGTTTGTTTGACAAAAGTAAAGACAAAAAAAATTATTTTTGAAAATTTTAAAATTATTTTTTCCCAAAAACAGAGAAAACCATACGAAATTTGTAACGCCCTCAATTTAAGACATAAATCATTCGTTCACAAGTTCCATGAACATAAGGAAAAGAATACATCTTCATTCATCAGAGTCTTATTTACAAAAATATTACATGTTACCGACAAAGTATATGCCCTACAGGCTTACAGCTTTCCAAGTTATCACTTGGTTATAACAAAAGGAGAGTTCTAACTCTATACATGAAAATCCCTCGGCTTGAATATACATTTAATCATCAAAACAAAATATAAAAAGGGAGTCTTCAACTCCTAAACCTCCCAAGCTAGGACCTTGGAGGCGGCATATCACCTGTACCTGAAAAATGGTGTCCCAAGTAAGGTGAGCCAATGCCCAGTAGAGATATGCTAAACAACATATGAGAATTAACTAAAACATTAGCATTTGATAACTATTTAACACTTATGAACCATCACAAACCTTTTCATTAATCAATCAACGTTGCTACCCACATTTCAATTCACTTCCAGTTATTACCCAAGTCAATTCATTGACATAATTCATTATCACATAAACAATTCAAAATGAGACTACAACTCATTCATTAACACTTCGATCATATACATCATTCATACACTTCCAGAACTTGCCATTTTACGGAACTACGTCTGAGGGAACCGGCGCCCAAATATAAATAAGATTTCGGGACTTTCACCCTGGACACTCCGGCCAACTTAATTATCCATGGAGTCCATCCCCTATCTCCTCCCAAACAATGGAGTACATCCCTTATCTCCTCCCAAACAAGATATATATACAATGTATTTAAACGCATCGTCATATATTATGACCAATTTAATCACATATACAATGCTTACATCTAACCGTCATATTCAATGACATATTCCAATTAATTAGTTTTAATTTATCTAATCATCATGAATTTTCTATAACAATCATGGCTATCATCCACTGATAAACCAAAACAAATATATCTACACAAATAAATAAATTTCTCAACAGATAGTATATCACGTTTTTCATAGGTGAGTGATTCATCAAGCCAACCACACCATTTAATCACAATTTCCCCCAATTTCATAATTTCTGAACCAATTTCATGTTTCCACAATGATCTCACTATTTAAACAAATAATTTGTATAACACAAAGTAGGGCATTCTCCCCCTTTTCTCAAACATTGCACCCAAGGACAAATTTCACACAACATACCCAAATATTCTCATATTCAAGACCTCACATACATGTGGAACCCCAAAATAGGAAACCCCTCTTTCAAATAACAAAACCCTAACCTTGACTTTACCCAAATCTTCCACAAACCCACCATTTATACAAAATGACTAATACTTATGTTAAAACTCATGAAGGAGAGTAGAACATCCCTACCTCAACTGTAGAAGCTCAAAGGAGAAGTGGAGAAACCTCAACGACGCCCAAACTTGATTTTACTCGAACCAAATGAAAGATCTTGAGAAGCTCCAACTTTTTAATGAAGACACAAGGGTTGGAAATCACTAGATCAAGGCCAAAATGTAGAGAGAGAGTGTATTTTAGAGAGAGAAGCTCTCAACTTAGGGTTTTGAAAAGTTTTAGAGAGAGAAAAGATAGAAAAAGTGATTTAAAATGTCACATTTGCGATATGATATACGTACAGTCCGCTCGAGCGAAGAGTTTGACGCTCGAGCATCAGACACAAAAATTCAACCCGCTCAAGCGCAACAAAGACTGCTCGAGCGCCAAGACACAACAGCAAGGGACTACCCGCTCAAGCGTAATGAGACCCGCTCGAGCGTAGAATACACTCGTCCAGTATTTTACAAACTTCAGATAGTCGCTTGAGCGCCATAGGGGCCGCTCGAGCTCAGACCCGCTCAAGCGTGAAAAACACTTCTGCAGTATTTTTGCAGACGCACCAAATACTGAAAGATTGCAAACCCCGCTCGAGCACAAGACCAAAATTCTGGGCAACAAGGTTCTAGACCAACTAGCAATCCACCTGTTCCAAACTCGCCCAACACATCCCAAA